ATCCTGATGTAAACCCTAAACCCTAAACCCTAAACCCTAAACCCTAAACCCTGAACCCTAAACCCTAAACCCTAAACCCTAAACCCTAAACCCTGAACCCTAAACCCTAAACCCTAAACCCCTGACTTAAGACCCTTAGCCCTAGACCCTGAACCCTACTTTAGACACTGTCGACCCCTGATTCATCAACACCTTCCGATCGGCTTATAGTAAGGATTTCTTCATATTGCGGCCCCTTGTTTTAGACCCTAAACCCTAAACCCATACAAGAGAGGCGTGTTTTAGAACTCCGGGGCCTACGTTGGGACTGGTTATGTTTGCGAATCCCTCGAGCACAACTCTTCGAACCTGTGGCCCGATACACCCCGCAGCCTAGACCCCTGAACCCTACCTATAGTCTCCATGGTAGTTCCTTTTTTTGGTTTAACCAATGATATATTAAGGATTCTTTAAGGTATCCCCAAAAGGAACTACATTGGAGACTATAGGTAAACCCTAAACCCTAGACCCCTGAACCCTAAATTGCAAAAGATCCCAAAGTGGAAGCCTTCCGAAAAACCCTGTTCTGAGGCCATAGCTTTTGTTAGGGTTTCGGGTTTAGGGGTCGTGAAAGTGCGAGCTTCTGCCTGATGAACAGTTCCAGCAACTACGCTTTCTGCGCCATCCCATGTAGTCCTTGTAGTTCTGCAAATTCTATTTCTAGTTCGGAAGATTGTCGCTACTTGCTTTATGCTTATGTTTCTGTCACTCCTCCGGTTGCTCCCTCGTTAAACGAGAAGGCCCTGCTGTTGAGGTGTGTGTGTGTGTGTGTGCGTGTGTTCGCTGGCACACAATCCAAGCCCATGCTGAAAAGGGGTCGTAGAACTCACCATTTAGGAAACTCTGACGGGGTTCCTGTTTAAAGGATCCTTTCAGACCCTGATGGAAGTCCCTTGCAGGCGAGGAAGCAGAATCGGGTGGTGGACTTTCCCAAGGGCTCCTTGCACATGTTCCATCCCGCCTTTCCCGGGGAGGCGCCCGAAGCGTAGCGTGAAGCTTTGGGCCTTTCAGGGTCTTGGGGCTTCGAGGGGTTCATGCTGCCGTGAGAACCGTGAGAGGAGAGTCACAGGACAGGCAAGTCAGAGAGAACTGTTGGATTTTCTGGATGTTGGGGTCGGTTCCCGAGCATTTCGGACAATTAGGCCGCTTCGAAGCCCAAGCACAGAGCACAAGCTCTTCATTCGGGCTTGGCAAGAAGGTGGGCCTCATCTGAAGTTCCCGGCTCTTGAGCTTCGGCTCGAGGGCACGGCGCGTGACTCCTAATCGCAAAGCAAAGCCAGATGACCACAGCGATGACAACTGTCAAGAATGTACTTGAGATTGCCTTCATGTGCTATGTCCCGCAAACCTAGACAAAAAGTCTAGACAGGCCACAAAAGCTGACGAGAATGAGTTCCTCTAGCCACCGCAGGAGGGAAGAGATGAAGCCCCAAAGCCAGACCAAACGAAGCTGCCCCTAAACCCCAGCTAAGCCCTAAACCAACCAGCCCTTGCCTCAAGGTCCGTGGAGTTATTGACCTAGAGGCCGAAACAGGGAATTCCGCGAGAAGATGGGGGCAGGGACAGAAGGGGGTGTTTGAGGGAATGATTCGTGCTTGATGTGATGGCTTTAAGATGTGTTTTTTTGGGGTGTTGTCGCTGCTTGGCTTTTGCTGAATGAACTTAGGGGCTGAGTAGGTAACCTTTAACCTTTTGGGGCTTATATAACCCTATTATAATTCAGAAGGTTAACCTTTTTTGGGCTAGGGTACTCAGCCCCTAAGTGAACGACATTTCTGTCATTGTTGCTTTCGTTTTCCTTGGCGTCTGGTCTCTCTGACTGCCTGTTTGTCTGTCTGCCTGTCTGTATGAACATATGTTTGTATGTATGCATGCATGTATGTATGTACAGCTATATATATATATATATAGGTATATATATATATATATATATATATATAGAGATATAGATATACATATATGTATATATGTAAACTTTACGGTCTGGCGGCACTCCGTGATCATGATGCTGCCCTAAACCCCAAACCCCTTAACCTTTGTCATAACCTTTAACCCTCATAAGCCCTAAGCCCGAGGCTCTGGGACATTTCGTGGCAGGTTGTCTTCGCTTCGAACCTTAGCATTCTAAACCCTCTTGGCCGTAGATTCGAAAAGAACTTCTTCAACTAAACCCTAAACCTAAACCCTAATCCTGCTGCCGGGGTTTAGTGCATAGCAGTCCCAAGACAACCCTACTGAATTACCCCTAGAACGTGTTGAACGCCCCCTCCAAGTCCTAAGCCGTGAGGGCGATCCGTAGCCCCTGCATATAGTCGCCATTGTAGGGCCCCCTGTTTGTTTAACGTTTGTTTAGAATCCAGGTAGGCAGCTGTAACGCCCAAGGAAGGAACTAGAATGGACACCATAGGTAAGCCCTGCCCCAAAGGAGGCGTCTTGGGAAGCTTGTAGTTGTGCCCTGGCGGCCCGATCATGGCAATTCTTCACGAATAGTTGGTTATGTACCCTGATCCAGGGGTGTCATTGAAGAACTGACACCCCAGGTACAATCTAGAATATCATCACTGGAGAGGAACAAATCTCCGACACCTATTCTGAAACGACTTCTAAACTCGAAACACCCTACACGCAACCCTATACCTTCTCAAACCTCCTTGTGGCTTGTGCTACATTCGGTACTTCCGAAACCCCGTACCATAGACCTTAGCCTTAAACCCCAAAACCCTACAAGTTCTGAACCCCAAGAAGCCACTAAAGTAGAACCCAATGGGAGGGCTATGCCTAAACCCCTAAACCCCAACACCCGACTCCTCAAAGCCCTAAACTCCCTAAGCCCCGACGGACTAAAACCGTTCAGATATATGTGTATATATATATATATACATATATCATCGTACATTCTACCCTATTCTACTATAGCATAGTAGAGTGTAGTGTAGTATAAACCCTAAACCCTGAACCCTTAAGAAAAGACTTGCGCGGGAAGAAAAAGAAAAGACTAGCCCCTTCAGGCAATCCTAAACCCTAAACCCTAAACCCTGAAACCCCCAAGCCCTAAAGAAAAGACTAGCCCTTCAGGCAATCCTAAACCCTAAACCCCAAAACCCCTAAACCCTAAAGAAAAGAGTAGCCCCTTCAGGCAATCCTCCTCCCTGCGGACGAAGTTCGGGAGCGGCCTGCCGGAGCGGGCCGTGAAGAGCCGAACCAAGATCCGCTTCGTGGCGGAAAGAAATTCGGGGTTTAGGGCTTACATATATAAATTCAGGATTTAGGGTTCAGGGGTTTAGGGTTTAGTAAGTTTCGGTAAATTAAGTTTTTAGGGGTTTAGGGTTTAGGGTTCAGGCTTCAGGGAAATTCAGGGTTCAGGGTTTAGGGTTTATGGAAATTCAAGGTTTAGGGGTTTAGGGTTTAAGGTTGGGGGTTTAGGGCTTAAGGCGGAAAGAAGCTGTAGGGGTTGAAGGGTGTAAGGTTGTCGGGACCTTTAGGGGGATTCCATGTTTGGGGGTGTTGACGGAATAGGGGTTTAGGGTTGCGGGGTTTGGGTTTAGGGTTGAGGCGTTTAGGGCTTAAGTTAAAGGAACAAGGGTTTACGTTCTTGTGTTCAGGTTAATGAGGGTTTGGTCGTTCTAAAGGTTGGGGGAGGTGAGGGGTCTTAACCCTAAACCCTAAACCCAAAACCCTAAACCTTACACCCGAAACCCGAAACCCTAAACCCTCTTACTCTGTATATAACTGGTTTGCTTGGACGGACCGGTCCGATGCTCTGTTGCGGGGTGCTTGTCCCATATTCGTGATTGTTCGGTGCGTTGTGTGGATGTATGATGATCACCTTGCAAATGCTGGGTGTTATTGTGCCGATGACATCTATATTGCACCATATGCTGGAATGTACAATGTACAAACAGACACACACACACACACACAAACATTTACAAACACACATCCGCGCGTGCGCCGCGGTCAGTTGGAATGTGTTAAAGGCCGTGCGACCCATCAGCACCGCCTCTCCCTGATCCACTGCTGAAAAACACAGTTCCTCTGCAAAAAGATGCGTGCGCGCTTTGAACTCAGCATCATCTCAAAACTTGTGCAAAGGCTTTGGTGACAGCGCTGTTTTCGACACAAAACCCTTGCTGTTGCTGGTTTTGAGTGTGGAAAAACCCCACGAGGCACGCGGCTAACCTGCAATTTCAGCAACGCATACTCAATTCAGGAGTTGAGGCAGGTTTCGGCACAAGACTTCACTCTCTACGAAACAAAGCCCAGGTTCCTCGACCCAGACGACCCGCATTTGCTTGCGCATCGCAGCCGTATCGCGGCTGTCCTAAACCCTGATTCCCAAAGGGTCCAAGTACTAGTATAGTATATACTTTGGGGGCCCAAATACCTACTAAGTACCCACTATAATGGTACTGGGACCCCTTGGGAATCCTAAACCCTCAACCAAGAATCCTCTGAACTTGACAGGAGCTCCACGTAGGTTCAAAAAGCATACTTCGCCAACGATCTGTGTCTCGCATGGCCCCTCTGAGTTGTGTATTCTGCTTTGCACGAACCAAGAAACTCCGGAAGTATCCTAGCAATTGCAGCCCAAGCTCAAGTCGAACCACCAAGCATTGGCTTGAACAGGCTCTGTGGGGCTCTTCAGCGGGTAGTAAACTGGGGAAGGTTGGGGGCGTGAGTTCACTCTGAGGCCTCAGTGAGTTGGCTTCAATGTTTTCGGGCACTGAGGGGCGGGAGTTCTTGGCATTTGAATTTAGGTACTCGTATCAAGTTTCAGCACTGAGAGCATATAATGTGAGGTTCTGTAGCATAGGGGCCGGAATAACTAAGAATCATAATATCCCTTGCAGCCCCTTTGCAGCCCCTTTCAAAGTGTAGTACAATGTGCCCCAAAACCTTACTTATTCTTTTATCATTGAGGCCCCCATACACTCAAAACTCTCAACGCGTGCTTGGGTCTCAGGGTTCCAGGGTCGTTCGGGCTCGGATCGTGGTACCTGGCCCCATGCCAACTGAGTCTGCAGCTTCCTGCATGCCTTTTGTATCCTGTTGCTATGATGTCGGGGGTTTTCATGTTAAGCGATTGACATGATGATCGCTATTGTTGTTAATGCGTTGTTAACATCATTCTTACTACTATCAGGAACCCCCACATGAGGGCGGTCTGAAGGACGTGCCACAAGCAGCCGCTTCGATATCCTAAGGGCGGCAGCTCGAACTCATCAGCTTCACAATTGGCCCCCCTATAGCACAGGGCCTGCTAAACCCTAAACCCTAAACCCTAAACCCTAAACCCCAAGCCCTATCAAATCCACAGGGTTTCCCGTTTCTTAAAGCCCCCTAAACCCAGGCATCGCCAATCTGGCGATCGTGAAGAATGTGACTTGGCGTATGTTGCCTTCAGCCCACAAGGTCTTTGCTTCTATTCGACCTCTGGGCTACTTTGAGAAGTATAGCGCCACCGCAGAACTGTTGTAGTAGCTCTTTATAGAAACCCTCGGGTTTAGGGTCAGGTAGTCTGCGTCGCAGAGGCGGGACTACCTTGGGTCCTTGACCTGCTTTGCGGCACCCTAAACCCGAAACCCCTAATCCCTAAACCTCTAAACCGTAAACCCCTAATCCCTAGACCCTAAACCCTAAACCCCAAACCCTAAACCCCAAACCCTAAACCCCAAACCCTAAACCCTAAACCCCTAATCCCTTAGCCCCTAAGCCTTGAACCCTCTGTGCAGTAGCGATTTTGAGCGGAAGCCCGGGGCTTCGCTCTGCCGACCGTCGAAGCTCAGGTGTTTGTACGGCAGGTAGCTGGTCCCATAGTATGGCCAGAGCACCTTCCCCATATATGTATGTACATATATTTATGTACGTGTATATATATATATGTACATACATCTACATAATACATACATGCACGCATATCTACATATAGCACACACACACACAAGCTGAGGTCAAAGCCTTGGCCGGCGGCTTGTTGGCGGGTGCGCAGCTGCTGCTGCACCCTGGGCTGAAATCAAACCAGGGCCGGGATGCCATGCGAGTAATTTCTAATCAGATCCCAGGCTAATCCCTTGTTATTCTCAGACTATAGCATATCAGACTAATTATAGCATACGAACCCGGATTCCACTCCCCTAATGCACAAGGCCCTGAAGGCTAAATCATAACTTGCGAAGCCCTCCCCTATAATCTCTTCACCAGATCACTCCTAAACCCTGAACCCTCCCCTTCTCTGAGCTCGCTACATACCCTTGTGAAGGAGTCTTGTAGCTTAGTGTCGGCAAATCAGACGTCGAGTTTGTTCGGATGAGCATTTTCCAGCTCTGCGAGCAGAGGTGCTGACTCGGGGGCCCGTGATGTTCGATTCCGGATTCACACATATGATTTTTGTTTTTGACGTTTCATTTTACTGATTTATTCCATAATTTTGGTATACTAGAACCCAAACCCTATTCTAATGAATAAGACACTTATATTCTTAATTCAAAGTGTACTCTATGTTTTTTAGTACCTGAAGGCCAGCTCTTGCAAGCTCCGGCCTCCTCGGTAGGGGCGCTGCAGCTTCGGGCCATTGCCGGTACACCCTATGACGGTTTAGGGTTTAAAGCCTTTCATGTTTGAGTTGGGCTTTCGGGTCCGGCTGGGTGAGGGTACCCCGGCTCAATACCTCGGTGTCTAGAGCCTCGATGTTTAAAGCCACGGTAGCACAGAAGCCTCGGCAATCGCCAGTAATCATTATCCCAGAGGTTTCCCAAGTATCACTACAGCAGAATATACCCGCATGCCCGGTTCTCTTATCATGAAGGCCCCTAGATTGAACATTACACCCCTACAGTGGCCCTAAAGGAACCTGTAAAAGGAACCCTATTACCTTGACACACAGCTCTACGATTTGACTGCGCCCTGCACCTACTTCCTTCCCTCAGTATTTGGGAAGTATAGGGTTTGAACTGCCGAGGATGCTGAAGATGATCGCCATGGCATGTAGCGGGATCTTCGCAGCGATCATGTCGATTCTCATGGCACCTTGGCTTTGCTAGAGCAGTCCGTTTTGACGAAATGGATAGTTCTGGGAATGAAGATTCAGTCTGAAGCCGCAGGAACTGTAAGATCAACTCACCATTCTGATTATGCTAGCTTAAATTGGTTCGTCGATGGTTGCAGTGTCTCTGCGTTGCTTAAGGCAACGACGTGGATGCCGCCGAACTTACTGCAAAACATACACCAGCCTTTGGTGTCCGCCAACAGCCTATTATTCTTGTTCTTACTAGTACTATTTCTACATTGAATGTGTATATATACATACTAGTATACAAGCTTTTAAGATTATGACTTGCGTTGGCTTTACTATGATTATGTTGACAGCTTCAAAGTTGAGAGGGCGCTGGCTCATTGTGGGTCAAAGATGTAAATGGTTGTCCACGAGCCGCTGCTGCTGCTACTACTACTACTACTACTACTACTACTACTCTAGAGCACAGGAAAAGCTGAGGCTTGCAAATAGAGAGCCTCAGTCAACAACACTGGCATGTCTGGCTGAGCGTGTGCTCTCGGTGATTATGTTGGTTACTATCTCGACAGACCATGCCTGGACTACTGTGAAGTTCGGGGATTGCGAAGATGACTAGGTTTGCTCTTGCATCGCGTTTACCATCATGTCATTGGCAATTCTTGGTACAAGTATTACCTGGATTACGATTGTTCTGTTTATTGCTGATTGGTATCACTATAGCGGTAAAATTGTCCAAGCGTGATTGCTCTTGTGCTCAGCAATAGCAGCCCACATGGGAATAACGAGAACAAGACCACTCAAGACCACGAGCACAATATTATCAAGAGCCAGAATAAGCACAACACTAATCATATGAGTCGTTCTGAACTTGTCTACCTCGTCAAAAGAAGAGCGCCGAGGTAACCAACAATCGTTGAGCCGCGATGTATTTCAAGCGGAGGCCCCGGAGACTCTCACACCTGCTGGGAGGGTCGGGGGACTTAGTAAATGGCTATTTTTATGGACTTATAAGTACTATAACCCCAACTAGGGTCCCTTTTAGGGTACTTATAAGTCTACTTATTACCTACTTACTAAGTTTTCGGGCCCTCCAAGTGGACTTAGCTGCACGGCTCTTGGGCGCTCTTTCTTTGGTCTTATCGGAGTCTAACTTCTGCTCACCCACTGCCAGCATGCCCCGCTGCATCTTTGTTTGATGGAGACTGTGGACGATCGTCTGGGGTTTCTGGATGAAGCTTTGTTTCTACAAGCTTGGGATCAAAGCTTATTTGGTCTAGCTAGCAATGCCATCAAGGCGTGGCTTCGCTTAGGGCCTGGGCTTTTTTCACTTGAGGAAGTACGGCTTGGAAGTCGGGCTAAAAGATTGTTGTTCATTTTGTGCCGCTGTGGCGTCGTTGCGGGGCAGGGCTGAAATGCGAATGTGGGCTCATGGAAAATCTGGGGACCTCAATAGATGCCAATACCAATACCAAGTACTATTTGGGGTTCCTGGTTGTAAGAATAATGTGATATACCCCTCACACCCTTCTTTTTTGTCAATGTGGTCCCTATTTTATAGGCACGGAGGCTTTGCGTGCTAAAGCGGTTCGAATCTCGCACCCTGGCCCTGGCGGATGTGAGGGAACAGCGCCTAAGACAGCTCACGAATCGCAGAATGTCCTTGTTGTTGTTCTTTCAGTTTGGCTGTCAGTTTCTTAGGGAGGGATGGGAGTTGCATTCATTTACAGTATATGTACTGGTTCTGCAATTCAACCAGGGCCATTGCTGAAGAGAGACAGTTACCCGAAAACCTGAACACCTAAACGCCATAAAACATCCCCAAGGTGCCCGTCGAAATCTGAGCCGCTTCCGGCTGGTGGGCATTTTCCGACCACGGCTTTTCTCAAAGCTGCGGGGTTTTGGACCAAAGGTCCACCTGCCTGCCAAGCCTTGACCTCGACTCGACCCATGAACTCTGCTACTGAAACTGAGTGTCCATGTGCTAGAAGGGTACCAGAATGGTTCAATGAGTGTTATCAAGGTTTAGGGTTTAAGGTATAGGGGTCCTTAAGGGTCCATGTAATTACGCAGATGGTATATACTGTGACCCAACGTAGTCCCTACATGGGCAAAGTTTATCCTATTTGGGTACTTGACACGTGGGGGTGAAATGAGGACCTGAAACTGCTAACTCTCTGCTGCCCTAGAACCCAATCGCCTGAAACCCACAGGCCTGCGCCTTAGTCACTTCAGTCCCCTAAACCCCCTAAACCCTAAACCCTAAACCCCTAAGCCCCTAAACCCCTAAACCCTAAATCCGTAAACCCTAAAATCCTAAACCCTAAACCCTAAAACCGTAAACCACCAAAACCCGAGGCTCCAAGACTCCTGGAGCCCTAAAACCCTAAACTCCATTGGGCTTGGGGACCCGAGGGTTTAGGGTTTAGGGTATAGGGTTTAGGGTATAGGGTTTAGGGTTCAGGGTTTAGGGTTTAGGGTTCAGGGTTTGGGGTTCAGGGTTTAGGGACCCTGGGGTTTAGGGACGTCTTTTGCTCTTCTCCTTCGTCTCGCACCCTGGCTCCTTGCCCTGGCTTTCCGTCACAGCAGTAGGCCCCCAGAGCCGCTCAAGTCAAAAGGCAGAATTATTGCTATGATTATTACTCTTATTATTTTGTTTTTCTTATTTCCATTTTCATTATCTACTACGATTATTGCAATGGACACGGGTTCTATCAACCAAGAAGGAACTATACGCCACACCCGCACCTTATTTGACAGAAGTTGGAACATGGACTGAACATGATCTCGGACGACTGAAGATACTTATGTTCCAACTTTCTAGGCACTTGCTGTACATGTTAACCATCTTTCGTTTGCTTGCCATGCTGGCGTCTGCCCAAAGAGTGCCACAAAGGAGGGTGGTCTGGTTCTCACAGAGCCCAATAGCACCTCCATGAACATTCCTTGAATTCAGCGGTCCTCAGACGATGTCATGTCCCTGGTAGGTCGAATCCCTGCGTGCTAAGACCAAACACCCCATGCACGTTAGGATCCCGAAGAAAGAACACCACTGATTATTCAGGCCCCTATACTACCTAGATCCTCGATGGTTACTTCCTTTTTGAAGGGTGTAGGGTTTATGCAGTTCCTGTTTTAGCTTGTTTTCGCTTATACGAAAAAGTCCTACGTAACCGCTAAGGTAAACTGGACGAGGAACCTAAAATTGAGCGTACAGAGAAATCCCACAGTCCTAGAGATCAAGCCCCCCTTGCAGTGACGGAAGAAGCCTAAGCCCAGAGCCCAATGCCAAACAACGCTTAAGTATTCATGGTTTTAGGATTTGACTTCCTGGCTGACACTTAGAGCCCAGCTGCAAGAAGGGTTTAGGAGCTGAACATCCTCTCTCCTATGGCGGATGGCAGTGACTGTCAGTTTGCTGCAGCAGTGAGCATGCAGTCGTGAGAAAGCTGGGTCGGTGTTAGTACTCCAGACAACGAGTAAACGGAAGGGAACAAGGCTAGCCGTTGCAGACTAAAGTACAGCAGCGGCAACAGCGCTCGACCTGCAGAATGTATTTGTCGGGATGGTCGGGTTTAGTATGCCCTGAGTTGTACCTTTTGTTGGCCACATGCTTCGTTCTTAGGCTCAGAAAACCAGGCCCAGAGACGGGCTACACATGAGCGTTCAGGCATGGATCAATCGCCAAGCCACTGCGCCAGTTCTGTTCCGGGTCATTGTTCTTTCTCGTGGAGAGTGAAATAGCCAGGACTGTGAGGAGACACGTTGTAGAACATCCGTCGATGTAACTGACTTGTTCTTCAAGCATCGTCTATCTTGCCAGTCGAGGCATTGTCGCCAAGCATTGCAGATACCGTGGCCTAGGAAGGCTCAGTTGTCCTGCAACCTAAGCCTGAGGTTCTTGTCAAAACTGATTCTGCTGCAAACCCTGAAGCGCTTAGCATGGATGTGTGTTTGGGGTCATGACACATCACCAACTCTTCAGCATCAGGAGGCTTAGGTTTCGGGAGCACGATTTCGGGAGAGCCCGGCAACCAGACGAAGTTCACGGCCTCATGTACCTTTGCCGTCAAGTTCTCATGAAATGCAGACCCTACGCCTTAAACATCCTTTAACCCTAAATCCTGAACTGTACCAAGAGTCTCGGATCAGGAGGGGCTCCAGAAAGCCTTCGAACCTTGACCAAAACTGCAAGGACCCCCCACCAAGGCACCGGTAGCAAGTGGTTGCTTCAAGGCATGAGAGAGGGCCAATGCTTCAAGGATCGAACCCCAAACCCGAAACCCTCAAACCTAGATGCTCCCTAAACCCCTAAAAATTAAAAAGGAAAAAGCCCGCAACCGTCTTAAACCTAAACCCGAAAGCGCTAGACCCTAGAGCGCTAGACCTCCCTAAGCCTCAACCCGCCTTTGTGTGCGTCTTTGGGATCCGAAGGTCCCCCTAAACCCTAAACCCCC